TGAGGTTAAATACAGATGACTTTCTCTGTTGATGTGTATCATTGGTAAATCCATTGCAAAAGGAGTTTTGATGTACTGTGGTGGAATGTGCAGCTCCCTTTTTATCCTGCTAATTATAGCCAGTATCTTGAATTGTAGTTCAGTAACTCAAATTTCTACTTCAAGAAGAAATGTGCTTAAATATTTCTTCTATAATAACAGAATCACACACTGGGTAAGGTTGGAAGGGTCCACAGTGGGTCATTTGGTCCAACCATCCTACTCAAGCAGGGTTACCCTAGAACACTTTCCGCAGGATTGTATCTGACATTTCTTTAATATCTGGGCCCCTCAGTTTAGGAAGGACATTGAGACGGTTGAATGCATTCAGAGAAGAATAACAAGGCTGGTGAAGGGTCTGGAACACAAGCCCTGTGAAGAGCAGCTGGGGGAGCTGGGGTTGTTTAGCCTGGAAAAGAGGAGGCTCAGGAGCAACCTTATCACTCTCTACTACTACCTGAAAGGTGTTTGTGGTCAGGTGGGGGTCTCTTCTCCCAGGGAACCACTGACAGAAGAAGAGGACACAGTCTTAAGCTGCACCAGGGAAAGTTTAAGTTAGACTTCAGAAAAAATATTCTTCACTGGAAGAGTGATTGGGCACTGGAATTATCTGCCCAGGGCGGTGGTGGAGTCACCATCCCTGGATTTGTTTAAAAAAAGACTGGACATGGCACTCAGTGCCATGGTTTAGTTGATGGGGAGGTGTTAAGTTAGGTTGTAGGTTGGACTTGATGATCTCAAAGGTCTTATCCAACCCAGTTCATTCTGTGATTCTGTGATACCCAGTGAGGGAAACTCCACAACCTCTCTGGACTATCTGTTACAATGCTCAGTCATCTGTGGATGATCAGACATGTGGATGTCAAGTCTGTCTATGTGTTTTCCAGCCCAATCCTCCTTCACCGTGAGAGAGTCATCTTTACAATTCTCCTTTACCCTTCCTGGTCTTCTGGGTCATTGATTCCTCAGGACTGGTGGTGTCAGTGAAGACCGATGTGAAGAAGGCATTCAGTAACTCTGCCTTCTGTGCTTACTGTTTTCATTATAACTTCTGCCTTTCTGAGCATTAGGACCTCTAAAGCAGACACCTTCATAAGTGATGAAGTATTATTCAGAGAATCACTGTATATCCTGAGTTGGAAGGGACCCACAAGGTTCACAAAGTCCAACTCTTACATGAATGTAAGATATTGGACCCACAACCATGGCATTATTGGCACCATGCTCTAATCAGCTGAGCTAATCTTTATCCTGTGGGAAACTGTTCTGGCAAAGACATTAATTTATTCCAGTGGTTGCAAGGAACATGCATCTCATGTGCTTTCAGATTCATAATGGAGTACTTTCTGTAGGGTGTTGGATTTTTTTTTTTTTTCAGGTACATGCTAGCTGCATTTTTAAAATAATATTGCTTACATTGTATATTTGTGATAGGAGAGTATTTCTTCCCTTTAGATGGCATGTGAACTTTACTTCTGATACAATGACAGCATGTTCTTTAGAACGTATATGTGCACTTTAGACTAAATGATGGCCAGGCTACTACAAGCAAGGAAATGTTTAAGAGCAATCTTGATATGACTGCAGTAAACTTGCAGAAGGGTATAGAAGTACAGGAAAAGTTACTAGTTATCCTCTAATTTCAATGTTGCTCTGTCAGTAGCTAGTTTAAGCCATTTACAGGACCCATGAGGGACTTGAGATAAGTTGATCTGATAAACATTTCTAGTTTTTTTAACCTTTTGAAGAACTCAGTTCCAGTAATCATCCCTTTCTTCCCCCTTTCCTTCCTTTGCTGAATGTCATCACATTCCAGTTTCCTAGATGAAAGGACATTACCAGAATCATTGCACAACTTCTATGCAAGTACAATTAGCAGGGTGGCGTCGCATCTGTCCTTTTTTGCGTGGTCTTAAAAATGCAGCTGCATACTGCCAAAAAAGCCAGTTGCTGGAGAATTTATGCAGTCCTGACAATTTTTCTAGGCCTACAGTTGAGCAGTTGTGGACAAAGTTCTAACCTTCAGGAGATGCTTGGGCTGGGAATGGATTTAGAGGTCCTGTTTGGGTGCTCAAGCACTGCTTGGGTTGCAAGTAGGATTAGCAATGATACCTACTCACTGCTGTTTCCAGCACTGCTTGGTTTGTCTTTGTGGTCCCAGAAAACAAGGTGGAGCTGTACTAGCAGCTGACAGCCTGCTACACCAGTGTGTACCAATGGGTCTGAACCAGCAAACATCAGTAGAGCCAAGCACTGGATATATACTTGCTGCATAATATTGCAAACCCTATTCGATTAGCATGTGGGATCACTCTTCCAAGTGTAGGATTTTGTAGTGGAGTAGGAGACTAAACATGGTGAAGAGTACTTGTACAGAAGGCAGGGAGAAAGGCAAGCGGAGGACAAGGAACCCGTGCTCAGTTTTTGTTTGATTCCCGATGCTTTGCTTCACCACAGCTACAGTTCTCTTCCAATAGTAATGATATGTGATGGGTAGTGAGCCATTGGGCAGAAATGCCACTTAATATGTTATCAAGTTCTTGGTAATATTATTGCAGCCACACGTTTTCAAACAAGTAATAATTTCATTAAATTGCTTGATGGCTCTAGAGTGAAGTAAAAGCTGATAGACTTTTGAGACCCACAAACCTGAAGAAGGCAACATCTTCCAAATACATCAGTTGCTTTTAACAGGTGATTACATCTCTATAGAGAACTGATTCGTTCTTGAGACTTGCTTACATTGCAAAGCATTCTTCAATCTGTAAGGACAAATCTAGAATCATAACCTGTTTTTATGGGAGTTTAAGGAAGACTGTGAAACAGTTGCTAACTACAAATTAAGACTGATCTTTAATCTTTAGTCTGGAAGGCTCCCACTAACATGGAAAAGGGTATAAATGTATAGAGGGGAAAACCATAAAGGTGATGAAATTCCTTCTGCTTCATCACTTTAAACTCCATGCTTTATGGGAACACAGAGAAGATGTATGTATGATGAAAGCTTCATTCCTTGTCCTGGGAGAGGGGCTCATCACAGTAGCTGTGTGTGTTACCTTACTACACTATATTGGTGGAATCTGATTTGTATTTTGATACAATTATACATCACTGACCTGACATATCATAAATTGGTGCATTTCTGTGTAGGGGATGTGCAGATGCAGCTTTCTCAGAAGGTACCAAAATAGCTTTTTATTCTGCATGTAGTTTGCTGGGCAGTTTTGGGCAGTTATGTATTTATTGATTGCCTCAGTATTCGAGATGCAAGTAGTAGCTTTTGGCCCACTATTTTTAATAACTTGCAGTAAGACTGGTTCTTTTAATTTTATTGAGTTTGTTCTTTTCAACTTCATTTTGCAGTCTGGGTTATTTAAAATGACCAAATAATTGGTCTGAAAACTCAAGAGAAAGCTGGGTCTGCAGTAGAGGATCTGATCTGATGTGAATAAATTAAAAATTTAATTTATTAAATTCAAGAAGCCTTTGTATTTTGCTGAAATCTTACTGCTTTTTGGGGAAGAGGAATTAATCTTCTGGAGAAGCTCTGGGGGAGAAAAGATTAAGAATTAATGCTGTTAATGGAGAAGAAAAGATGTCTTAAGTGGCAGTCAGTGTTATTAAAAATACTAGCTTCTACCCACTAATGATGGCCAAGTTTTGCAAACTTAACAGGTTTCACCTTTTTTTTTTTCTTATATTCTGCCTTTGATTGGATTTTGCTTTTGATTGCCTGGTTGTGGGTGGAATATCTGCTACTCTTGGCAACAAATACTATATAGGTTCTTAAAATTGCATTTGTTCTGGCCTGGAGCAGAGCTGTGTGGGTGTTGGATGTTTCTTCGAGACCTGGAATTCCTGTTAGTTAATCACCTTATGTTATCTACAGTTTTAAAGGAAGACGATTAATATCTAGCAGGCACCTTCACTATGTGGCATAGATCTGCATGCTGTACATTTAATGGTTCAGTTTATCAATCACCCACCTGGGGAAGGCAGTGTTTGGGTAATCAGTTATCCAAAAATATACTTTGTGGACCAGAGGCAAGTAAGTTAAGTGTTACTTATTATAGTCTTATCAATGGCATAGTGCTTAATCTCTTAAGCACATTAGAGTGTTAGCTGATCAAAAATTTATTGTGATCTGCTTAAATGAGATGATGTGCCCCTTTTTCTGGGCAATACAGTAATATAATACAGTGTGCTAGGCTAGAATTTAATTAACTGATGAATAGGTTGTTCTGTGCATATATCTGAACATCTGAAATATTTAAATTGTGCTAGCTGTCTAACATCCTGTGTACTAGTTGTGACAAATATTAAAGAATCCGTATGGAAATGGTGGAATACGTGAGAAATTGGCTGCTGCCACTTAGTGAAGTGGTTGGATTATCAGAAGTAATCAGTTTAATTTAAACCCAGCTCATTTTAACTGAAAAAGGTTAGGGAGCAGCCACATAATAGTTCAGCAAAGAGATCTAAAGAGGAAAGTAGTAATTTACAGTAGTGCAGGCAAGCAGGATAAAATGTGGCGAACAACACCAGCTGATTCAATAGGTTTTCCATTAATTATTCAAAGTGTAATCAAACTCTTCTTCAAGATGCAGTTACTGGTGAATTCTGAGAAAACTTTGAATCTTGTTTAAAAGCAGGTAACTGCCTTTTTTTTTTTTCCAGGTACCTCTTGATTGAAATAAAACCTGATATGGAAAAATTAGGCAGTGCTTGGACTTGATATTTGTGCTTGTCCTGGTCCATTCAGACTTGTCAGGAAATGCATGATTAATCTTGGCTTACATGAAGGAGAAGACACTGCAAATCCTAATTTGCATTTATTTTTAACGCTTCCATAAGCACAAGCAGGACATTAATGTCTTGTACTTTAGTTTTAGGTCTTGTATTGCAGTTACGGATGTGACTTATGATAATTGAGTCTAGTCTCACCTTCAATTCTTTTCTAGGGAGAGCACGTGTGCAGCAGCTAGCAGAGAACACAAGATATTTCAGGAGACGACTGAAAGAGATGGGCTTTATCATCTATGGAAATGAAGATTCCCCTGTGGTGCCTCTGATGCTGTACATGCCAGCAAAAATTGGGTACGTGTGACAACATAACTTCTTACCCATCTTCTTTAAAGCTAGGTTGGTGTAAGAATATGAAGAGTTTTCTAAATATAAGAAAATATTTGTTTGATTTTTGCTTTTATTATCATTACTGAGTCGTATAAAATACGGAACCTTCTATAAGTGATCTTGAGAAAATCTAGGCTTGTAGCTTGAGTCATCAAGAAAGCACTTCAGGGAAACAATTTTGCCTCTATGTGTCATGTTTTAATGGTTGAGTTGTGTGTTTCCATTGTATTTATATGTAAAGTGTATAAATGTGCTAAAGAGGAGCTGAAATTGAGTGAAAATTACCATTAAAAGTCACTGGAGGAAGTCTTTCAACTAGCTCTTGGATCAGAAGGAGCCAGCATTTTCATTAATGAACTCTGAAAATTAGGAAAGGAAAAGCAGCAGGGCAAGACATGATGGGACACAACAACATGTATTTAATGAATCCCAAGTTTGTAAGAGATCTAGATAAAATTACTTGGGTATTTGTATTGTAAATGCTAAAACAACTGTAGCACATAGGTTTATATATGCTTGCTGATTTGTGGGGTGCTGTGTGGATAATTCAGGCTAAAATTCTGCAAGGAGGATATATAAAGTATGTATCGAGAATTTTTTCAGCATAAACAAAATCCTGATTTCAAGGACAGTTTGGCTTTAATTACTACTTTTCAGGGTCTGTATAATGCAGTGCTCAATCAACCCTTTCAAATTTAGAAAACACAATTTCATTTTAAGCTGTACTGAACATCACTAGTGCTTGACTAGCTCAGGCTTCAGTCTGGCACTTTTTATGAATACAGGAGTATATATTAATACATTTTTTTAATATATATTTGTACAGTAATTTTCCACCCTTCTCAGTGTAACAAAGCTTTAGAAGGCCTATGTTACCTTTATGGGTGCTGCAGATTGCACATCCAGCACACAGAGGCAGCTGTTTCCACTGCCCAGCTTCTCTACCAGTCAATACAATCTTCTCCTTGGAAATGTTCATGGAAATATTTATTAGCTGAGCAGTTGGGCCAGTATCTTAAAATGAGCAAGAACAGAGAGCTCTGATGAGAGTTGACCCTTAGGATCTGCATTAGGTTTACTCAATCCTTTCTTTATCCCTTGTAGCCTGTTTTTAAAATAGTTTGAGAGTACTAAATGCATACAAAATGAAGTGCATCAGGATGCACCTATTTAGAAGGAAAATAGTTGTGGCAGAAAATTTCAAGGCCTAGTAAAAGAATGTTATTTTTATATGTCCTTACAAACCTCTTAAGTTCATTGCTACTTCTCACAAGGTCAGTTCAAAAAAGATTAACCATTTCCTGTGGCATATAGAAACACCCCCAACTGCACTGCCATTACAGATCCATCCGAGATCTTCGTGCCTCTCATTGTATAAGTCACTGCCACTACTTTCTTTAATCTCCTTAAGGATTTGTTTTGTTGAAGAAAGTGTGTGACAGTTGTATGATATTTTTGCAGCTTCCTTAAAAATATTTGGTGTCATATTAGATGATCTCAGTTTACTGTGGTGATTCAGTGGTTCCTTTGATACTTACAACGTGGTACATTCTGTGATGCAATAATGTACTTTAATCAAATTAAATTCATGAAAACAAAACATCTTGAAATTGCAGAAACATCCGCTTTGGGATATTGCAGCATGAGGGATTCCTTGTATAGTCAAACTTCTGAGCCAAAATCATTCTTTTCTGTTGGAAAGATTTCCAGGCTTAGGTTACAAATCCATTTAGAAACAGCCTGCTAAAAGTCTCTGCCACATACAATCTTTCATCTTTTTTAGAACTTAATACACTGAAACCTTTTGAGAAGGACCACCTTGGGATTGAATTTAAAAAAGGCTTTTGTGAGCAGGCATTTCTGTCCCTTAAAAAAAAGTACTGGAAGCTCCAAACTGTGGTCTGACAGCCTTGCTATAACCAAGGCCTATGTAGGTTACCATACTGAGTCCTTCCTGCTCCTGCTCTGCCACCACTGGAATAACTGTGATGATCTCGTTCTCTCTTGGCAGTGCGTTTGGGCGTGAGATGCTGAAGCGGAACATCGGTGTTGTGGTTGTGGGCTTCCCTGCCACCCCCATCATCGAGTCCAGAGCCAGATTCTGTTTGTCTGCAGCTCATACCAAAGAGATGCTTGATACAGTAAGTGTCTCATCTTGTCTTCCTTCTGCTCATGCCTGCTAATAAAGATACAACAATTGTCTGGGGTTTGTACACTGGTTCAATGTTTGGTACGCGACACAGTTGAACCTAATCTTCAAAGCCCTTTGTAATAGAGCTGGCATTGACTCATCTCTTTCCTTGCTTCAGCAGTGCAGAATGGCTGCTTAGAGTAAATCTCAGGACTTTTCTTGTCCTATTTTAAAAGGAGACAGTCTCATTCCTGTGAGACAATGCTTTTTACCCTCTTTAAATGCTATACCTTGGATTGAACTGGTTAGAAGGAAATATTTTGCATCTTCTGGCCCTAGATGCTAATGGTAAGAAAAAAAATAAAAATGCCTGAGAACCTCCAAACCATTTCTATTTCTCTCAAAAGGAAGTGCATGATTACTAGTGAGAATTTCTTTTTCGAGTGATTACTATTCTTGTTCCTGTTTAAAGCTTCAGAGCACTGTATCTTAAATGAACCTGTCCTAGTGAGTCTGTACCACATGCAGGGCCTTACTTACTCTTACCAGCACTTGCAGAGGGAACAGAGGTCCCCTCAAAGGAAGCCTACATCACAGTTAGGAGATGCTGCCTTCAGAAGGTAAGGATGGTGGTTACTCTGACTAACAAGACATGAAGGAACATTATATGAATAAGTCTGACTATTCTTAGTATGTCTTGGTGTGGTAGCTACATTCAATTTTGAGTCTCCTAAATAATCTTTTCTGATGGGCATGTGTACATGGGCTTTCTTAGGCGTTGCCAAAGTTCTACATCACACCTTTTTCCCCACTTTGAGGGTCTGTGACTCAGAATGTAAACTAAGTTGAGTCATGAATTTGGGCTTCATGACAGTAGACTCTGTTCTATTCAGAGACTTACTTGAATCCCATAGGATACAGTCTCAAAGAGCAGAGGTGTCCAGGACAGCTAATTGATCTTTCCTCCCCAGTCCTTCCCTTAAGAATGATCTATCCTGAATTAAAGGAGAGTGGATGTGATGGGAAGCCTGCATGGATGAACAAACCAATGAAAATATATCATGAAAGTGTATAAGAGATGCAAGCACAGACAGGCGACCAAGGAAGAATAGAGACACATTCCTGAGCATGCAGGATGGGGTCAGGAAAGCCAAAGCTCACCTGGAATTCAGTCTGTCAAAGGACATCAAATGCAGCAGGCAAAGCTTTTATGGGGCATTAGCAGCAAAAGGAGTAGAGAAAATGTGGAGGACTGCTGCTGAATGGCACAGGGGATCAGGTGAGAAATGTGAGCAAGAGGCAAGGGTGCTCAGTGCCTTTTTTGTCTCAGTCTACTGTTGTGACTTAGGAATCGTGAGACCATGGGATTAGTGGAAAGGTATGGAGCAGTAAAAACTTACCTTTGGTGTGAATGAGGCTCCAGTAAAGGAACATTTAAGCAAAATCAACATGCACAAGTACATAGGACCTGATGAGCTGCATCCATAAGCATTGAAGGAATTGGCTGTGACTGCAACGCTGCTCTTGATTATCATCTTTGGAGGAAGAGTATGTGGTGGTTGGAGGAGGCTCCTGAGAAGACAGCAAATGTCATCTTATTTAAGAAGGGCAAAAAAAATGTTCAACAGCCTTGCTTTTATCTTGAGAAGATCGTGGAGAAAAAAAATCTTGAAACTATTTTTGAACATTTTGTGGACAAGGTGACTGGGAGTAGTCACGGAGGAAGGGGAAATCATTCCCAATGTCCAAATATGATCAGGTCGTAACACTTCAATATGTGCACAGCAAATAGGATATCTAACAAATATTTACTAATGTCTTGTAAAAAAAAATAGACTCAACCTTTTCACACTTGACTGCTGCAAAACTTACCTAAAAATCAACACCTTAAAATGACACACTTTTTAAATTTAATTTCTGATAAAAAAATTAGTAAGGTAGTGTGTGGTGTGAGCAGTGTCATAATGTATGTGTAGTGTCATTGGGTAGTATGGACCTGCTGTGTATCTGTGGTTCTGTACTTGCTCTTCCTGAGTTGGTTCTGCCTTGTGAGAGATTGCCTAACATAACACTCCAACAGCAGACTGCTCAAGGAATTCCTTCCCAGCTACTTGTCCTGCTACTCTTCCCTTAATTATCTTAATTTAGTTGTTTCTGTTCCAAATAAAGGTTTTGAACCAGCATATTCAGGGAAGACCCTCTCCTTTGCTTCCTTTCCCCTTATATAAAATAAAGAGTATCAGACTTGGCTCAGCATGATAATAGACCTGAGTTCATTGATGCAAACTTCTGGTGGGCATGGAGTGGGGATGAATGGATAAGAGATAGAAGGAAGGAAAATAGAGGAAATGGAAGTCTCTGAAATCATATTACTGAAAATTGAGCTGAAACCGAAACTCTACAAACTTGATGTGTGGGCGCTACCTGAGCAATTGTGCAATTTTACAGTAGGTTAGATTCTTGGTCTTCTCTTTTAGTGACTAGCTGGGCCTTTGCCACAATAAGCTTCTTTTGTAGGGTCTGTATAAGTACCACGTTTGCTCTCTTTGAAAATCTATCTGTAATTTTTATTACTCTGCTTTAAAATTACTCTGCTTTCTTTTCCTGTCAATTCTTTCTGCGTTTTCTAAAAAATGCTTCAAATTTTTTGCATTTAACATAAGACTCATGGCTAGAGTACCTCTGCAAGTGTTAAATGTACTAAATTGAGGAAATGCATGTTCAATATATTAGAGCTTGTCTGCTAAGAAAATTAATCCAGAGCAAAATGAGGTGTGAATTTTGAAGTGAATGAAGAAATCCTGATTTAGCTCAGTATGTGGAGGCTTTTTTCCAAGTTAGTGTAACCCTCTTTATGGTTCAAAATAGCTGCATGCTCAGAACCCAGAGCATTGGCAAGAGGAGTTAATAAGGAGCAAGTCTTTGTGTCAGTGACTTTGTGCTGTGTTTTCTTGTGATGCAGTGAAAAGGGATTGATTTCAGGCAGCTAATCATTAAGGCAAACCTCAGGTCTAATTCCTCTGCTAACTCTGGCAACACTATCCGGCGGAGGAAGAGCTAAAATGAATGGACTTGGGGAGAGCTGGCAGACACCTTCTTCAAGTCACTGACAGAGAGGACAACTTGGTATCCCATTTGTGTATTCATGAATGGTACCTAGGGCTCATGTGGTATTTAAAAAAAAAAAATGATCCAGATTTGAAGCATAGGGAAGAGAAGCTTGTCTTGCAAATAGTGATATTTGTAGTGCTTCTTTGTTCTTATTAAATACACCCACATGGTGAGGAACAGTTCTTAGTTAAAATTTTAACTGTTTTATGTAAATAAAACTTCCTTGCCTAAAAATATTTGGCGTAGGATCAGAGTGAAGTCCCTCATAACCTGCATCGCTGTGGGCTGTGCTTTCTTTTCAGTGATGAAAAATATATTACACTCTCCTAAAGTCAGAGTACACCAATGCCATTTCCTTTGTAGTCTTTGCTGGTCACATGGCCTTTTTTGTTTTAAATTAATAAAATCCTAAATCTGCATTCAAGAATAACAGTTAACATACTCTTTCAACAGAAATTCAGCTTTAAATTGCTTCCATATGGGATCTTTACTTAAAGCTCTGGCAGACTATGCCCATACTTTTGTTTTGTTCTGTTTTGTTTTTACTGAGGTCCAACTTCTGGGTTTGTAGTTTCCCCAGATTTTAGAGTGCAGAGGTTTTTGCTGCCAGATATAACAAGCATGAAGGGCCATTGTTTAAAGAAACAAAAACTTGAACTATCCATCTAGGAAGAAAAAACATGTACAGCTATTAACCTCCATCTGCCAACTGTCCTCAAGAGACAAGCATTTGACCCAGATTGAAGCATTAATGTTGAATTAGTGAAATTCTGAAGCAATGCTGAATGTACCTATCTCAATAAATTTGCAATTCAAGGCAGTGAAGAATGCCAACCTTTGAATTCAGAAAATCACATTGGATTTGGAAGTGATCTTCAGAATTATTTTTGTCACTTGGCTATATAAAATAACTAGCATCACATGCTATCACACATTTGTTTGCAGCAACTGATCTACTTTTGACTTTGCTCTAGGAGTGTTCTGTAGAGAAATGAAGTTTAGGATTTGGCTTTTAACAGACCCTATTGTGTGTGGACCAGTGTCTTATCAGAGATTGCAACATAATGGAAGTATGATTAACTGAGCTGGGACTTCCCTCATTTCTTATGCAAGCAGATGTTTAATCTCTGGTAAACTTCAAAATATTTGAGTTCAGGTCAAAATGGTGAAAGGCTGTGCTAATTCAGTAGCAGTGTTCTGGGTCATCAGTTGCTTGAGTGTGGCCTTTGAGGCAACCTCAGTGGGACTTGCTTTCCAAGGAGAAAATGCTTGGAGTCCTACCCAGAATAATTTCTTATTTTTCTTTCCTTGGATTGTCTGGCAAAAATCTCCTGTGCCATGCTGTTTATGACACATAGATTTCATCTCTAGTTGTATAAGGACAATGCAGATTAACCAAATGTGGATGTAACAGATGGATCTATAGAACTTGTTAACTCACTATTGTAATTTGTCTTTGCTATTTTGCAATTTAAAAAGTACAGTAGATCAGGTTTGCTAACACAGGAGTCAAACCTCAAACAAAATGTACATTTTTTTCTATTTCAGCTTCATTGCCTCCAGGAAGGGAAGAACATTATTCTGTTTTTCTACCTATGAATAGTCATGGGGTTTGCTGGATATTATGATCCTGTTCTGGAACTGGAATAGTTAGATGGATGCATAGGTACTCTCAGTTAAGTGACCAGTGCTGTTTATGTGGTCTCAAAATTTCTGAATGCTAAAATAAAATAAAAAAATCCTATGCACTTTTGAAGGTACCAGCTTCTAGTATAGGAAAAATCTCAAGTGAAGTGTCAGAATAGTCTGCAGGCAGGCATAAAGGAAGATGTGTGGATAACTTGCATCTGTCTCGTCTGCTGATCTGCTGTGGTCTCTTTGTCAGGCTTTAAAAGAAATCAATGAAGTTGGGGACCTTTTGCAACTGAAATATTCCCGTCGCCGTTTGGTACCTCTCTTGGACCGGCCGTTTGACGAGACAACATATGAAGAAACAGAAGACTGAATTCCCTCCATGTGCCTCAGTGGGAGGGACACACCCCATGGGACACTCCGTGGCACACAGGCCACAGCATCTGAACACACACTTATGACTGCTTAGTATAAGAGACGTTTCCTCACAATACTGAAGTGGCCACATCAGCTCTAAACGGCATTTTGTAAATAGGGAGAGGAGAAAAAAATTCTTTGATTCCTGTGTCTTCAGGGTCTGGCCCTAGAGGTGCTTGGCTTTATTTTTTTCTTGTTGCTTTTTTTTTTTTAATTTATTTGTCTCAATGAGTTCACAGCAACCCAAGTGGCTGTGGCTGATTAGTTCAGACTTTGTATGCACCATTAGCCTCCCAAATGCTGGCTGAGATGTTGCAAGCATGTTTGACGCTGGCATGGCAGCATTTTCAGTGTCACTGCTAGGTGTCTGATCTTCCCAATAAGGAATGAGCTGACCTGTCTGTTTCTGAAGACTTCCTAGAGAAACTGTTGATTGCTAACTTTGACATATTTAACAAGATGGATAATCAACCAAAGCTGTTTTTTTCATTTGCAGTTACTTATGTTTAAAACTTGAATTTAGCCTGTTTTAAAATAAATGTGTTGTTGACATGTCACTGACAGGACCATTGTTCCCAAACATTATTTAGTTTTGTAAGCCACAGGCAGAAGGACTTCTGGGACTATAGCCTCTTTTCCTTCCCAGTATGGATATACCAGATTGTCTCCTGGTTTTGACACTAATTGTCCCTTTGATAAGAGGGTAAGTGATGGAGAGAGGTTTGTTTTGTTTTGTTTTTAATACTTCTGTTTAAAAAAAAAAGAAAAAAATATGGGTTGTGTGTGTTGCTTTCTCATCTTAAGGTTAGTTTCTCTTGCTTTAGAATTATCATGAAGTCATGAAAAAGTCACTAAGTCTAGAAGGGTGCTCTTGACTTTAAACAAACTAGAGCAAGTCTCATGCTTTGCCTTAAGACTAAGCCCCCTCAATAAATAGGCCTATACAAGGGGTGACTATTAGGAGAAACATCTATTTAATGGAGATCTGTGAAGGACTGCTGCCCTTTGCCCTGCTAACTCACTGTTTCTTGTCATCTGTGAGGTGCTCTTCACTGGCCCTGTTATGCTTATGGACAGCTTGAATCTTGTAGTCATACATTATATTTTGGCTGGCCAGCAGAGTTCCCATCGGCAGCTGCATGTCTGTAGGCCTTCCCTGAAGAGAGAAAATGTCCTCATAATTGCATTTAGTGCAATATCTTTATTCTTTTGTACTCCTGTAACTGATCAACACTGCTCAAATGAGTGTTCACTGAGCCAGTTGCTGTTTGGAGTCTTTTTATTTGCAAGTTTCATACTGTCCTTCTGTTTCAAATAGATGCCTTTGCTCTAACACACCTTAGAACTGGTCTGCTACTTAGTCTTTACATCTTGAGTTCTTTCAGGGAACAGAATGGATCAACAAAAAGGTACCAAAAATTTTAAGTATGAGTAAATTGCAGTGTAGTTTGTTTCTGTGATTTATACTTAGACATAAACGATTTCTGCAAAGATAGTAAAATGTTAACATTTAGCAATTAACAATTGTTAACACTATGTCAATTGGGCCAGCACTTCAGTTTGGGTTAGCAAGATACTTTCAGCAGGTTACTGAGGTTTTATGAACAGACCCATCATAATAATACTAAAGCAGAGAGCAACTCAAAGCTCTTTGTGTGGTGCTGAAAAAAAAAATTCATTATTTTAAAGTTCTTCAGTGTTCACTCTGCAGCTAACAGGGAGGGAGTGTTTTGGCCACTAGAACCAAGCAGTTCTGCAAATATATGTGGTGAATTAAAGCAGAATTGGCTTCTATTTTATAGATTATCTAACTTCATACATTTTAATATAATGGAACTTCAAAACACCAGTTCATCTTTTTACCACTGGATTTCAGAAATTTAATTACATGAGAAGAACTGAAGAACTGAAACTGACTGTTTGAAAATAGGTCCAGATAACTACTTCTGTCTTAGTCCATTAATGTTGGTTGGCTCTTCTTCTGAGCTGAGTGCAGAGTCTGAGAAGTCTGTATGTGCAGCTTGGATAGCTATGAAATAGTCTCACGTGTTCAGCCCGAGTGAATAAACAGCAGTTAGCTGAACTTACTTTCTCACCCATGTTCTGCCCAGGACTAGCTCTAACATTCCAGCAGATTACCTGCTTTCTGACTTCAAGAAGCTTTACCTCAAAGAATTATTGATCTATTTTTTTTTTTTTTCTCCTCTCTGGATTGTACTAGGGAACAAGAGGAGGTTAGTACAGGAAGCCCTGACTTCAGCCCTGATTCTATTAACTTGATCTTGAAATGGTTTAAGAGCAGACAAAACTGACCAATTTAAAGGCTTGGATCAATAGGTACCTGTTTATAAGCATTCACAAGTGTACAGTGGGTTTGTTTGCTGTGTAGTCGAGTCAGTTTGGAAACTGTGATGTATTAAGTTTCAAGTGGGTTATCATAGATTCTACAAATGTTGAATCTTAACCTTGTCTCTAGAAATCAGTTTTAGAGCATCTTGACTTTTGAAGGGAGAGAAGCATCTGGAAAAATCTCCATAATATATATAAATCCTGTGTAATATTTCTGAAATGGTTAGTGTTGAAAAATTACTAGTGTCCATTTGGCTTCTAGTTGCACTTGGTGAGGAAATTGTGTTCAAGCTTCTGCATTTTAGTATCTTTCTGCTGTGTCACACTGTCTACATATAACTTTGAATTTTGGGTTACAAAGACACTTCAGAAATAATTCTGGTAGTTAGCATTTGCAAACTGCTTGGTTACATTTCAGCCTTGCCATATCCTTTTTGGGAAGCAAATCCACCCACTCCTCTCTGAAGCCTTTTGTTCAAGAGAACCTGTTTTGCCAAAGTCTGGTAAAAATAATGAAACCTGTTGAAACTGCTTCTGAAAAAGTAAGAATTACAAGTCCAAGATTTCATTCAGTAATTCACTAAGATTGAAAGCCAAGAAAGCCTTTTTGCATCTACTAAAAAAACTCCAATAAGGGTTTGTGCTAGGCAAACCTACAGCATATATGCTGTCACAGTATGTGTAGGATGGATTGCTGCTTTGATATTTATATACTGACCAGAAATCTGTCTCCTTTTTCTCCTGGCAGTAGAAATGAATGAAAGAACCAATCTTGAGAGATCACAAAGGAAGAAAAGCTGCTTAAGAAATAAAACTTCAGTCCCTGCCAACTTTTCAGAGACATTCTAATTGAAAATGACTCCTGGTATTTCTTAAGAGATGCAAAATCAGAAAGAAAATGAAGGCTGCTTTTGAACAAAGATTTTGCCCAGTACTGTATATTGGCTAAACTTACTTATAAATATACAATAGTTACCTTCCCAGTCCCTCTCTGAAGAACTAAGCAAGCAAGTTTTTGCCTCTTTTGAGCAGAGTAAAGAGTTTAGAACCATTACTGTTTTTAATGCTAATGGCCATATTCTTTCACTCGTAAGAAAATTGAGAAGCTCCTATTACCGAGCATCAGCAAAGAGTGATTCATAGTTTTCCTTTAGTTCTTTGGCAGAGAAGAAACCAATTATTTTGTGTCAGAATATTCAGGGCCTTCATTTTTGTTTTTTACATGACACAAACTTTTGTATAGTATGTATATGGTATATTTAATTCTTTAGTTGCTATATCTTTTCCATTCTAAGTAGCATCCTTAATGAACAGTTCTGGTTCTTGAGTTGTGGGTGTAGTATGCTTCTGCTTTAGGCAAAGACTCAGGAGTTGACCCAACATCTGAAGGAATTGCATTATCCATCCTCTTCTTGCTGTTTCCTCTTAAGACTGCAGATGTGGTACTCACTATCAGAGCTGCACCTTCACAAAGAACAGGTGAGGGAAGTGTGCCCATAAAATCAGCAGTTCTGTGCTGTGTGAATGAAGGACTGATACAGCAGAGATGGAGAGAAGTAGGGTAGTTAATCATTGCTTATTTTCAGCTGTACAGGGATTTTTCATGTGTGCTTGAACAAGTGTCCCTAAATCAGGAATGCAGCTTTCAGTGCCTGAATGGACACTCCTCTAAAACTTTTCCACACCAGGTAAATACTTCTTCTCCTTCTGTGCAAAGTCTGATTTCTTTACTTCTGAAAAGCATTTGGCTTACAGCTGTTTGCTCACTCAGAAGCCGTGTTATCCATTCAGGGAGATCATAGGAGAGGTTGGAAGAAAGTGTGAGCATGACTTCATTTCATCTAAGAGAAAACCTTGAAACACTGAATCTGGAGCACTTTGCATGAGCCCCCTTCCTGCATCACAGAGAAGGAAACTTGTAGAGATGTGTCCCAATACGCAGTGCTCAGTCAGAATGTATACAGTTTATATATATTATTTTTACAGTTTATATTCAGCCTATGAAAGTGTCAAGCATGCTGGGATCTGTGTGGGTGGCACCTTCTGCATGGAGATTTGAGGCACCTGCAGTCTGTTCTGTTTTAGCACTAGTGAAGTGCTGAGCTGTTCAGGAATGCTTAGTATGACCCCTCAGCAGGTGCATTGTTGGCTTTGGTGCTGGACCTGACACCCAAGTGGCATTGGACCACTACTTGGGAAAAGCAGGAGTCATTTGATCTGCATAACCAGAACATGGTTTCAAAAAAAAAAAACAAAACAAACTCCAATGTCATTCTGATCTCTTTGTATTCCTGTAAACATTCCCAGCCTTGCAGTTGTTCACCTGTTCAAGGATTCAGATTGTAATACTAGAGCACGAACATAAAGTGTTTGTGTGAAATAGCGTGCTTTACCTTTCACTAGAAAGAGAAGTATTTGCTGCAGACATTGGAGCTGTTGTGGTAATATCCCCAAAAGGGGCTGGGTGAAGCAGATGGTGACTGTGGTGTGTGTTGAAGGCCTTAAACTGTGATTCTTGGTATGAAGAATTAATATTAAGACTGACCTTGAAGAATGCAGTGGATTTTAACCCATGGAAGGATACTCAGTGCTCTTAGTTAAGCAGTATGCACTGCTGTTTTCTTGGGAGGGAGAGGTTCAAAACTCAATTTGTGTGTGATCCTGGCTAGCAGCTGTTTAAGGAGATGTCTATATATGAGAGCCAAAAGTAGTGCAGTTCTCTGCACCAACGTTCCTGTGTAGCTTACATAGTTCCTGTGTAGTTCCATCCCAGACTTGTTCCTGGGCTGCTGAAAGTGGGAGACCTACTGAAACAGTCAGGGACTTTGGAACCAGTGGCAGCTAGCAAATTCATTTCCTCAACAGCAGGTTAACAGGTCTCACATGAATATGCCAAGGGTTGGTGCTGTTCCAAAAATACCCACGGTGAGGTGAAACATGCACCAAAACCGTCTGACCTTTGTAAACTTTTTCTTTTTTTTTTTGCCAAAGCTCATCCTATTCAGACAGTATTTCTGCTACCCCCTAATGGTATATTAAGCTTAATGCATCTCTAGCCTCCCAATATTAACTGCAGACCCATTTGAGAGAGAACTGAGGAATGCTGGAGCCTGAGGCTTTAGGCTAGCAGCCCCAAAGCCAATGGTGGCCCACATTTCCACAAGCCCTGGGCAGAATCACTAAGTCACAGCACTTCATCTTAAATTGCACTGTATTCTTATGCCTCTGTGTTGCTATAATGTACATATATATTGGATTTTTTTGTAGATAAGACATTTTAGATAAAATTTTTAAATGGGCTCCCCCCCAAAATATTTTATGCCAGATGTCTAATTTTTTTTACACTTGTGATTAACATGAATATGGATGCTCTGTGGGCAGGGAAAAATACAAATGTATGGTACATTGGCTTTAAAAAGATAACAATGCATGTTTTAAAAAAACACTGGAGAAAAAAAATGCTTGGGGAAAAAAAATCATTCAAATATATTCTATGTTCTGCGTAATAAAGACTTTAAAAAAAAAAACTATATAATTATTTTGGCACTTTTTTTCTTAATGAGGCTTTTCCCTGTTAAGGAGACTGAGCCCTCTTCCTTCCCAGTCCCTCTCCCACCCATCCCCAAAATAAAAACCTCAAAACAATTCAACACACAAATTTCATACTGGAATGACTTGGTAAAACCATAGCCTGTTTGAGAGCTCAGAACTCATTGTTCCCCTCTAGCCTTGTACTCCAGAGCCAGGAAACCTTGCGAGAGGGATGCTTAGCTGGTTTTGGGCAGTCTCTGCTCCATAGTACAGCAGCAGCTTTGATGTGCAGTCTAGAAAAGCCACTTCAGTTACGGAGAGACGCCTGCAGTTGTAGCTGCTGTTGCTGACGTGCAGCACTCCCACGATGAGTGCCCGCTCCAGCTTGGTGCTGGCCCCAAAAAGCTGCTGTGCTTGAAAGCTAGGCTGCTACCCGTGGGTGCTGTTAGAGTGTCAGGCTGCTCTCAGCTGCCGTGCTGCTAATGAGATGTTTGAAAGGGCTTCTTGATCCATCTCGCATGGGATTCTTGACCTCACATCTGTCTTGCAGTTTGTGTCTTGTTTTAAACATTTCCTTCCATTCATCTCAGCCTTAAGTCTGCATAAACCAGATGTCGGTGTTTGAAAAGGAGATGCAGGTCCTGATTTTAGCTGTGGGTACACAAATGCGCCCAGGTGATTAGCAGCTTTGTGCTAAGGCTGCTGTAGAAATGCTGGGTTTTCCCTTCTAGGTCTCACTTTCTTGGACTGTGCCACTGCTGTCACTTTTCCTCATTGGGCTGCAAAACCTCCTTTCAGTGTCCTTCCCTAATAATTTTTTATAGTCCTTTCCCTAATTTCTTTCATAGGCTCATGAACGCCTGTGGAAATCCTGGAAAAGATACTCTCTACGCCCCCAGTAAACTCCATGTTTCCAGCAGGCTTTCAGGGCTGGGTAAGATGCTGCCGGCGTAGAAGAGAGCAGATCATGGAATGAAGACCTTTTTTCAGTGGTAGAAACTTTCTCCCGCAATTCGGGAACAGCCGGGGCTTTCACCAGGGAGCACAGAGACCCGTTTCTGCCTGTTGCGGGCCGGCCTGGAGCGGGGGGGGCCGTCCCCCCTCCCTCAGAGCGGCCCCAGGACTAGCGCTCGGAGAAAGGGGAAAAGGAGCGGCTTTTCCCAGCTCTTTTCCCCGGGGGCGCGGCGGTAGGCTCTGAGCCCCCTGCCCGGCCGCGTCCCGACTCCCGCCCCTCCATCCAGGGCTCCTCCATCCTCCCTCCACGCCTCGTGCGGCCGGGCCGGAGCCGCCGGGGCCCGCGGCCGCCCCGCCCCGCCGGGAGGGCGCTGCGCCGGCGGGGCTGCCCCGGCGGGAAGCGCCCGGAGCCGCGGGGCTTGCGCGGGGCCGGCGCCGCCGAGGCGCGGAACAAAGAGCCCCGGGCCGGGCCGGGCCCGCCGCAGGGGCAGCGCCCCGCGGGCACCGCCGGCTGGAGGGGGCGGCGGCCGGCCCGGCCATGCAGCTGCCGGGAGGGGAGGAGCAGAGCGGGCGGTGGCGCCCCGGAGGGGGCAGCGCCCGGAGGGAGAGGGGGGAGGTCTGGCGGTGCCGGCAGCCTCAGAGCGGGGCAGGGGCGCGGCGGGGCCGTGCCCGGGGCTGGCAGCCGCGGCGGGCGCCCGGGAGGGGCCGGACCGCTCTTCATGCGAGCAGGAGCCTCTCCCCGCCGAGCGGCCTCCCGTCCGCACTCCGGTGCCCGGCGTTGCCTGCAGAGCCGCGGCAGCACCGGGGAGTGACTCGGCGAGGGGAGGAGAAGAGGAGGAAAAGAAATCGGATTGCCGAAAGGATTAGGAAGTGGGGTGGGGAGCCGAAGCTCTCTCCCTCCCTCCCCCCCCCCCTCCCTGCCCGCACACATTTGTGAAGCTTTTCAGAGTTACCCTTCAGCATCAGTACCGGCAGGCGACCGGCGGAGCCGCGACAGCGGAAGGTGCTCGGCAAACTGCAAGAGCGATCAGAGGGAGCGGAGTGGCCCGGGCCCCTGCCCGCGGGGCACCGCGCTTCCCGGCTCCGGTGGTTTAAATATACATAGACAAGATATAATTTTTTTTTTTTTAAGTTTTTACTGCTCCTCTCAGAGGACAGGATTTGGAGCATTAAGGGCGGGCGTGCTGCCAGACCTCCTGCCCTGGACGCACGAGGTGGAGAGAGAGGAAGGGAGAGATGCCTCTGATTAGAGGGAAAGTCGTGCTCATCCTCGGATTCGTCTTCCTGACAACTTTCCTGGCTGCGGTGAGAGGGCTGCCCGTGAGAGGGAAACAGCGCAGCAATACCCCGAGGGAGAGGAGCTCCAAGCTG